ACGTCCTGGCGCTAGCTCTCAAAGCTGGGCGTGCTAAGATGAGAGTGTAGCCGCAGCAGCACGGCCAGCAGCACTGGCCGCCCCAAGTATGGGTGGAGGGGCCGTTACCTTCTTCCACTCCTCCAGAGCCATCGCTCGGACCAGGTTGTCTGGCACCAGCTCCCTCAGGATCTTGGGGATGGCTGCCTGCTGCGACCGGTCCCTGTCAAACCGCACTTTATAAATCAGCCCTGCTATCTGGGCAGCTTCCTCTTTGGAGCACTTGTGGTATCCTCGCAGATACTTGGGCAGCTCCTGGAAGGCAGAAGCAGGGGATCTGCAGAACAGTGTGGAGCAGTGTGGGCTAGGCCCGGCGGAGACTGCGATACCGGCCTCACAGAGCGCGCCCCTGGGGAAAGGCCAGCCCCGTGGGTAATTTTAGATTGACAGATGCCAAGTTGATTCTTGTGATGTTCTAAAGCAGAACACCAGCAGATCTGACGGTGGCTGCCCTCCGCGAGGCGGAGAAATAAATACTCCGTCAGGGAAGGTTTCTCCACTGCACTGCCCCAATCATGTTGCCTGACCGGAGCCCCCTCACCACCCATGCCCTAGACTCAGTTACCTGGTGGTAATGAAAGATGGAGTCGGCCTTCAGGTCTTTCCCAGGAGTTACACTCAGCCAGAGCTTCCTCATGAAGTACACCTGGTACGTCACAGCCACAGCGCCCCCTAAGGGAACGATATTGTCAGTGCTCCCCGAGTCACCCTTTTGGGCCATTGCTTCTGCCCGGTCCCACATGGCTCATGGACTCTGTACTTCTAGAAATAACACTGAAGAGGCTGGCAAATGAACTGGCTATCGCTGCAGTCGGTCGCTTAGGTTCATGACGGGAGCGAGCTGATGCACCGCGTCGGTCTATTAGGGACTGGATGTGCAGGAGGCCAGGGACTGGTGGTTCCCATGGACATTGCTTTGCAAGAAGTGGCAGGACTCCCTGGCTGTGTGTATTACACCAGATCCTAGCCCACCCTGGGCAACACTTTCAGTCACTCTGTCACCAAGCATTCTCTGGCAGCTGCCTTTGCAAGAGGAGATGCTGATTTCAGGTGCCTGTATTTGACCCCTCTGTACGGTCACTCCATACGCAGGCTTGGCTGCTCAGCTTCTGACGATATTTTGACCCTAGTTCTTTGGTGAAATTAGCAAGAAAAGTGGGTGGAATTTAGAAATAGAAGCTTTGGTGGGGAAGGGGAGAATTATAATCCGTTTTGGGAGGTTTAAAGCCTGTAAGTGCTTTCCCTTCACACTACAACAAGAGATCATGGGCTCTGATGTTAACAGGCTGCTAGAGAAATCCATAAAGAAACTGCCAATGAAGCAAGGAGCTGAGTAGATGGTTTAGTATATGATGCGTCTATTTGGTGACAGCTGGTCTGGCGAGGCACAAGCCTCGGACTTTGACTTGCAATCATCAGATCAATGAGTCAGCACATTACAGGTGCAGAATGTCAAAGCAGCAACATCAGCTGTGGCTCCCCGCACAGGGACTCGTTCCAGCGTCTGGCCACACCAGGTCAGCTGGATTCTCGTGCTCTGGCGAACGGTGCACACGAACCGCGCGCCAGAAACAGGTTTACCAGCCCACAAGCCAGACGTTCACAGAGCATGACTAGACCCTGCTTTGGGCCCATTGCTCTGATACAGATTAGCACAGCCACCCAGAGCAGATCCCTTTCCTCACCGTCCTTCACCGGCTTGTTCTTCCGAGTCCAGTCAGTCACCTGCCGTAAGGAGTCAAAGAAGTAGTCGGCTTCGTTCTGACTGATCACCTGGGGGGGCAGAGCAATGGGAGGGAGGAAATGGCATCAGTACGGTCTGAGCTGTCCCTGCCAGCAGTACAGACAGAGCAGAGGCAAAGGGAATTGAGAGATCTGAGGGGAGAAGGATGAAGACTAATGGGAGTGTCCTTCCCTCCCTGGAGTTTTACCTGGCTACTTGCCCGTAACATAGATAGAAGCTGACCGCCTGGTTCTCAGCCTGCTGCTGCAACGCTGGCAGACACAGAACCCCCCTCCCCAGAGCACAGCACTGTGCAGGCTATCTGGTCCTCCCGGAGCACAAAGATCACACGGCACCAGAGAACACTGCTCGACAGCCAGCGCTGGCAGCCTGGCTTCTGGGCGAGCCAGACGTTCGTCTGAGGGAGGAGTTAATTCAAGGGAGGAATGGAGCACTCCCCATTGCAGTGGAAGCCAACAAGTTACAGACCAACACCTTGTAGGGTCCAGCCTAACACATGGAAAGGATCTGACCCCAGCAGTGTGCAGCACCAACCTGGGACTGGAGTGGTGGCCAAGGAGCAGCCTGAGCACCAAGTATGGCTCTCGATATTCTGCCATGCTGTCCCCAGCTACGCCTCTTCACCCAGGGATGTGACTCACAGAGACAACAGGTCCCAAAACACCATGGACCTTCATAGAAACAGGGCTGGAAGGGACCTTGAAAGGCCTTCAAAGCCAGCCCCCTACACTGGGGCAGGCCCAAGTAAGCCTAGAGCATCCCTGTAGGTGTCTGTCCAACCTCTTCTTAGACCTCCAGTGATGGCAATTTCACAACTTCCCTTGGAAGCCTGTTCCAGAGCTCAGCTGCCCTTAGAGTTTTTCCTAATATCTAACTTAAAACTCCCTTGTGATAGCTTAAGCCTGTTACTAATTCTCCTACCTTCTGTGAACATGGAGAACAATTGATCATCATCCTCTATGTGTAGCCCTTAACAGACTGGAAGATTTATTAGCCCCGCCCCCTCCATCCCCTTCTCTCCAGCCTAAACATGTCCCATCTTTTTAGCATTTACTCATAAGTCAGGTTTTCTAAAACTCTGATGAAATGACGTTTACCCAGGAAAGTTCCTGACTTATTTGTTAGTCTCTAACAAGTCTCTACACTTGAAATAGGATACGCAATGTGCGCTATCCCAATTGCGTCTCTTATTTTGATTTAATTTAGAAATAGCTTATTTTGAAATTTGGTTCATCTACCCAGCGCCAAATTTCAAAATAACGCGCTAGCGTGAGCCTCCCTTATCCCTTGTGCAACCAGGTTTTACCAGGATGGTGAAATAGCGAGCCCGTTATTTTGAAAAATATTTCAAAATAACGGGCAGCTTGTGTAGAGGCAGGGAGGCTATTTCAGCATACCCCTGGTATCCCAAAATAGCCGTGCAGTGTAGATGTACCGTAAGATGCCACAGGACAGCTCATTGTTTTAAAAGTTACAGACTAACAGATCCCCTCTGAGACTTTTCATCACTTTTGTTGTTTTTTCTGGAATCTCTCCAACTCGGCCCCATCTTTGCTACATGTGGTGCTCAGAACCGGACACTGTACTCCAGCGAAGGCCTCCCTAGGGCTGAGTAGAGCAGGACACGTACTTCCTGTGTTTTACATCCCACAGAAGGCGATTTGCCTTTGTGTAACTGTTGACTCATATTCAGTTTGTGAGCCTCTGTAGCCTCCTCAGCCTTTTCAGCAGTACCCCTGTCTAGCCAGCGGGTCCCCATTTTTCAGTGGTGCATTTGATTGTTAACTCCCTAAGTGAAGTCCTTTGCACTAGTCTTTTTCGAATTGCATCGTGTTGATTTCAGACCAATTCTCTAATTTGACAAGATCATTTTGAATTCTAATCCTGTCCTGAGAGTGCTTGTGTAACCCACACACCTAGGCCGTGTCTAGACTCAGGGGTTTTTTCGGGAAAAGTAGCCTTTTCCCGAAAAAACTTCCCCTGCGTCCAGACTCAAGCCGCGTTCTTTCGAAATTATTTCGAAAGAACGCGGCTTTTCTTTCGATGGCGGTAAACCTCGTTTCACGAGGAAGAACGCCTTCTTTCGAAAGTTCCTCTTTCGAAAGAAGGCGTTCTTCAATGTAAAGAGGCCGTCTTCGAAAGAGAGCATCCAGACTCGCTGGGTGCTCTCTTTTGAAAAAGCGGATTTCTCTTTCGAAAGATCCGCCTGCAGTCTAGACGCGATCTTTTGAAAGAGGCTCTTTCGCAAGATGCTTTCGAAAGAGCCTCTTTTGAAAGAAGCCTGCAGTCTAGACATAGCCCTAGTGTGGTTACTGAGTACTGCAAGTGGCACCTAGACCACTGCAACAGTTAAGATCAAGAGACCTCTATAGCATGGGCTGGGAGCCAGCTGGCTTTAAGCTCAGAGGGGAGAGGCTCCCTATAGTCAGCTCCCCAAGTTCAAATCCACCTTGGTGGTAGTTACACTTGCAACCCTTCCCAGCTGGGTGTCATCTGCACATGTTTTAAGCACCATTGTCCAAGCCATTACTGAAACTGTGAACTAAGAAGCAACCCAATGCCCTGGAAGTTCTTGCCTCTGCCGCTCATGTCCCCATAGTAAAGGGGAAAGCAGGACCAACCTGCTCCATTATTTGACATGAAATGTGGCCCTGACTGCTTCCTGGCAGCCAAGGGGGCTGCCTCCATCCTAGTGCACCTAAGTGGTGTTACCTTGTCCGTGGTCTTGATAAAGAGGCTGAATCCTTCCCAGGAGCTCAGCTGCAGCTTGGAGGCGATGTTCTGACACAAGCTCCGGATTCTGCTGTTGGTTCCCACCTCAAACACCTAAAACACACCAGAGGCCCCGATGGTATGAGCCTGGGTCAGCTGTTCTGATTCAGAGCTCTCTGTGGGTCTGGGTGGATCTTATGAACCAAACAGAGCCCGATTCAGCCGCCCTCCTGCACGGAGCAGCACCATGCTCCATTGCAGTGTGGCCCTCCATGAGTCAAGAGAGCTAGGGGGGTGGATGGGAGAGAGAGAGAGAGATCTCACCTGCTCGGTGTCGTTAGGGAAGCAAACCTTTTGCGAGATCTTGGTGATGTTCTGCTGGATGGCCTCTACTTCCACGTTATGGGGAGCCCACTTGCGACAGCCGTACCTGGAAAACAACAGCCCATGTCCCTTCAGAGCCGGGCATTCGCTCATCCCACTGGGGATCTGGGAGCGAGATGCAAGTGACGCAGAGATCCCAGCACTTTGGCTAGGGACGCTGCACCTCTCAGCGCAGGGGTGTGAGGGCTGACTGGAACTTCCATTAACAAGCCAATCTGCTCTGGTTAGAGAACAGTTGTACTGTGTGTAGGCAGCATCCTAGTGCCGCCTTTATGGCTAATGGGAGTAAAGGCAGACTGGGTCTGTGGTCACTTTTTCTCTAGCTGTACACTGCCACCGAGTGGGAAAAGCAGCGAGTTAGCATGCTGCCGAGTCTGGGCTGGGGAGACGGGGTGAAGGGACAAGACAAGGGGCCCACTCTTAGGCTACATCTACACTGCGGCAGTTTGGAAATGCAATGGAGTGCTCATTTGCAAACCTCGCACTCTCATAGGCATATGCTTTGCTGACCTTTTTCGCAGAAGAGGTTTTTGTGATAAAAAGCCCCTTGTCAACGGGGCCATTTGTCGGAAAACCCTGTTTTGCACAAGATCCTGTAAACCTCATTTTTTGAGGAATAAGGGAGCTTGTGCAAAAGTTTTTTTCCCAAAAAATGGTCCCGGCTACGCTGTGGTTTTTTTCCACAAAAACCTCTTCCGCACAAAGGATTGGAAGAGAATATGCAAATGAGAATACAAGATTTGTAAATGAGTGATTCATTTGCATGTCCGGTAGCTTTAGAGTTGGGAGAAGATGAGCTGGAAGATCTGCAGGGAGAAACAGTAGGGAAGAAAGTCCAGGGTTCAGAGTCTGAGGCGCCCCCAGCAGCCAAGGAAAGGAGGAGCTGTCTGTGCCAGTGGCAGGCCAGCTGCCAGGCCTGCAGGCATTAACGAAGAACTAACAAACTCATTGGGAGACCAGACCAGTCTGCCTGTCTGTCCGTGTTGCTCGACATTAATCTCACGAGAATATGGTTACTGTTCAGAGTCTGTGAAATGCTTGTAAGTTGCTGCAGGCGCTGATCTCACTTGCAAAGGCAGCGAGTGGTCTCTGCTAGACGGAGAAGCCCAAGTTTTGCTGTATAACTTTTGAAAATATTTTCTCTAAGTGTGCGAACCTCTCCCCCTTCCCGCCCAGCCAAAAGGCCTGTCCAGACCAGATCAGATGGGCCACCCAGGAGTACTGGTAGCTGAATAAAGGAAATAAAGTCACAGGAACATTTTCCATCCTTTTGACTGAATACTGATGGTCAGAGACACTACACTGAAGCCAGACTCCCCAGGGGCTGCCCTGAGAGAGACTTGACAGGCCACTACATCTCTCTCTCTTAGGGCTCAGATGGCAACTCACCATCTATATGTTTGCTCCCTTGAACCTGGAAATAACTCATTGCTTTGTCCTAGTCAATAACCCCGTAGATAATTTATTACAGAATTGGCTACAGGGGTAGTCTTTGGTGTTGGGTCTGCACCAATTGATCTGGGGTGACTGGTCTGTTGGGACTGGAACCTGAATGTGGGGCAACTTTTTTGGCGTGACCATTTCTCACGAATGTCCAGTTTGTGTGGGTGGCAAACTAGACGGGGAAGCCTCAGGGGGCTGTCTGTGACTGGGGTAAGACTGCAGGAATTCACATTTGTTACTGGCTTGGTGACCTCTGAGTCTTGAACATCACATCAGAGCGAGGGATCTGCCGTGTTCTTGGCAGTCTGCCCTGAGGTCAGTGCTCCCTCCAGACATTCAATACAGACGTTACATGTCAAGCGACAGCTGTGATTGACACTGTGCCGGTCCTGGCTCACTGCAGTGACAGGCCAGGTATCTAGGAGTAGCTCTGGAGGAAATCAGCAAGACCTTCAGTTTCTGTGGCAGGCCTTCCTCACATTGACCACGCCAATCAAAGGGGCATTTCAGTCCCTCCCACTTGTGTCTGGGCTTGGTTCTCAGCTCCTGTGGCTTTCCCCGTGGCCTGAGAAGCGGAGGACAGCCGCACGCACACACAGCAGCCCGTTGCGTTGCTAGTGCGCTGGGGCACTAAGGGAAGCAGACCGCTGCTGCTAACAGTGCTCCTGCCAAAGCAGGGGCAGGGGGATGTCCGGGTGAAGCAGGACAGGGCTGTAGCCCTGCTCCTCACTCACAATGAATCACAATATTTGGTGTTTTTCTTAAAGCCTCAGCTCCTGGAGCCATGTGATTTGGAGAGACTCTCAACTTCCACATCACAGCGTCTCGCCCTCATGGTTTCGAATGTGCCTGGAGTGGCCCCTAATGGCTCAGAATTCGGAAAGCAAAGGAAAAGCCCAAGTTGTCATTAAAAAAACTTCTTATGAGTTGGGGGCCTCTCTCCTTTTTTGGACTCTGGTGGCTGACGAGTCTTTACCTCATTACCCTCTGGATTCTCCGGCTGCAGTCCAGAGCCAGGGGCTCTTTCTGGCGAGTCTCCATGAACTTCTGAGCATGTTTTAGCAGTGATTTGCTGGGAGGGAACAGGCCGGTGCAGAGCCAGAGTAACTGCCAGCCGCTGTTCACGCTGTACCTGCAAACACCAAACAGCAGCGCTAGGGCCACATGGCTTCTCAGACCAGGCAATAGCTATCGAGAAGAGAAGCCCTTTGTAGAACTCTGGCCTCACAGCAGAGCAGGGCTTTCCTTGGGTAAAGCACATGCCCAGATGGAAGATGCAATTTGGGTTAGCAGCTGATGCACCACTACAAGCTGGAAAAGCCTGTTTGCTGGAGAAATCGTGCCACTGCTTTGGATTTCTATAGCAGCCCTTCCTGTGGGAACTGAGCCACACAACACCCCGGAGATGTAGGGAATGCCCGAGCTACAGATGGGGAAACTGAGGCACAGCTTGAGGCCAAGATTTGCCCAATGTCGCCCAGCCAGCCAGACGCAGTCAAGGAGAGAACCTGCCTCTCAAGTTCGTCCTCTCACCCCTCGGCCAGGCTGCCTTGCTCTCTTCCAAAGTGAGCTGGTTTGACCGTTGTGCTTGTGTAATTCTGAAATCCCCATGACAGCGTTCAAAGCGGCACCCATGAGCGCTGCAGGGAGCCATGCTGGCTGGCGTGCCACTGGGGAGAGGACGGGGGGGAGGGGGCTATGCTGGCAGGTGTAACATTTTGTGTCTTGAGAACCCGCCGTTCCAGAACCCCCCGTCTGTCTCACTGTGTACTGGCTGTGTTCCCTGGCCCCTCCCAAATACCTGCACCTGTGCGGCCAAATGTTAAGGGATGCCAATGAGGTGTGAGCAAATCTGTGGCCCCAGATACCGAACCCTGGCACGTGCATGGTGTGTATGTGGGCTCGACCGAAACGGTTACTCCTGCCTTGCTATCGCACTGGACTGCGATGGCTGCAAACAGGGGATGTAACGGAATGTGCTGCTCTCCGTGTATTAACCCCATTAGATGGGTTTACCCAACAGCTGCCTGAGCCATTTTCTCTGGGACAGGAAGCCGCAGTCTTATGCTTGGGGTTTGCTTTCACATCTCCTGGGGCCAGCCCGAGCAGCTGCCAGTGTCTCGGGTCAGATTTGAGATGCACCCACTGGGGAGACCGCTCTGGAAAACCTAAGTGCTGGGGCTGATGCCCAAACGGGAGCGGTGCTCTCATGACACTGGGCCCAGGTGCGCTGCCTCTGCCCACTCTGCTAACGCCAGACTCAGCGCATCCCTTGCTGCTCTGTGGCACAGACCTCTCTGGCCTCGTTTCACAGGGCTCCATGCAGGGGGAACGTCCTCCATGGACCAGGTGACCTCTCGCTCAAATCCCCTCGCGCCTTTAGGGCCCATTTCTGCTCAGATGCCTCAGAGCGAGTCAGCCTGACAGAACCTTACTGCTGTGACCCCCCCCTTCCCTCCCCGCCACCCCACTCTGCTGTCTTGTGGCCCCGAGCCCTGTCTGAGACGGCGCCGCCAGCTCTCTGGCAGGGACCCAGCACAGAGCTCCTGTTCTGCAAGGCGCTGTAACGGAATACAGAACAGTCAGAACGAGGGGAAACCTGTAGGCTGTGCCTTTTCTGAAAGATTCCTTATTCCTCTTAAAATAAGGAATAAGGGATCTTTCGGAAAAGGCTTTATTTTCCGAAAGATCCGTGTCTAGACTGGCACTTTTTTCCGGCAAAGCTCCGAGCTGGAAAAAAGCGGCAGCCATGTTTATGCAAATGAAGCGGGGGGGATTTAAATCCCCGCTTCATTTGCAATTGCGATGTGTCTAATTTGCATCCCTTTTCCGGAAAAGGGATGCAGTCTAGACACAGCCGTAGTGACAGCCATGGGCTCACATGTCCCAGAACCTTACAGCAGAGCAGCTAAACCTGGTGAGGGGCTGGATGAGAAGGCAGAGCGGAAACCTACCCCCAGTGTAATTGTTATAAAGGCACAAATGGCCCCCTATAGGACTATGTCCACTCACAAGTACATAGCCAGGGAAAAGGCTCCGCCTTCGCTCCCCTGCACAGGTCAACTGCAGTACTAGCACCTCGAGAAGGGACGGGCCATCAGCAGCTGCCAATGGTGTGAGCCTGAGGAGTGAGGGGCCCACCGCTCCCCTTGCACAGGGCGGTGCAGCTGCCTTTCCTGCAGACGTTCCCTGCCGTCGCAGCTACAGCACAGCCGCTCACCAGAGCTTGGATTGGTCACCCAGGCCTGGTACCTGTTGCTGTTCTCCGTCAGCTGTTTCATGATCTGACAATAGATCTCATCCCGCAGCACCTCCTCCTGGATGGCCGCCACAAATATCTGGTCAGTGAGCTCCACGGAGGACCGTGCCTGCTTCGAGGGGTAGTCCCCCATGAACTTCATGATGGGTGAAGGCACAGTTAAGGACACACAATCAGCAGAGATTTGGGGCAAATGTGGCCATGGTGCTGGGCACTGCTTCGTTGCGTGTCAAGCAATAGACCCCCAATCTTACTCGCAGGCTGTGCTGCCCACTGGGAGCTACCCCTTCTCTTCCCAGTAGAGCCACCATCAAGTTAGGAGCTGTGGCTGCTTGTCCCCATCAACAACTGTACATGAATCTGTCGCCCTCTGCACCAGAGTATTCCACCCCGGTTCTCTGGGGTATTGGTGAGAGGAACCTTGTTTTGTTCCTTGTAGCTCCTCCGCAATCACAGCCATCTCCACTGCATCACTCCCCTGGCTCTAGCTGCCCGGCCCTCAAAGGAGGGCACACGGCAGTTCAGAAGCTCTGCGTTCAGGCAGGAATCCACCCCCTTTTTAACTGGAACTGCTGGCCAACTGTCTCTGCATCCTGGCAGCAGCTTTGCCGGGTACACCTTGGCTGGATGGACCCTGGGACGCACTGCACATGGGGGCCACCCTGGGGCTGCGGAGCCCTTGAGCAGAACTGAACAGCTTTTCCCTTTGCAGGAAAACTGAGGCTCTCTTAAGCCAGGCGCGCTAAGTACCTACTGCCTGTTTACAATGGTTAAGGGGAGACAGACATGGATCACTGCCCGCAGCTTTTCCATCGCTCCCCCCGCTGGAAGGATATCAATGAAAGCCTGGCAAGCGAGGTCCTGAAGTCCTGGATCTGCACAGACCTTCTTCAATAAGGGCTGCTTCAGGGGTTCCTTGGAGTGCGCCCACAGCTGGCTGCGCCCACGCGATTTGTGGAGGACAGCCTTGCTGAGGGACTCTTTTTCGGGAACCCTGCATGGAAACAGAACTAGTTCGCTCTGACCTGGTCAGTCCGCAGTAGCATTAAACAAGAGGCCAACACGGTGAAGCCTAACTTGGGACCACGTCCTAGGCCAGAGTCCGAGCAGGATTAGCATTTTGGGGGCCCCCTTGTGCGTGTGGCAGTGCCCTAGTACACCCAGTACTGAATCACCCACCTCTGCGTGAGTGTATGTCCAGCCACACACGGCTTCCTCAGCCCCCTGTTCTCCCGTGTACGCCTGTGCGGGGTTTCCAGTGTCCACAGGCAGCCGAAGTGTCATCGTGATCGGCGGAAACTCCCCAGGGATTTATCCCCTTCCTCATTCGATAGCCATGTCTCCAGGACACCCCACTTCATCAGGCTCTGTGTGGCCTTGGTCTCAGCTCAGCAAGTTCCACAGCCAGCAGCTACCCAACTGGTTCTGACAAAGCCCTTCCCCTGCACCCACCCTGCCTCCTGAGCCAACCCCTTGCAACAGCCTTGCCCCAGAGTGAGCACTTGGCCCCTGGGAAGCTGAAGTCACCTACCTTCCTCCCTCTGCTCCCATCGACATGCTAGTCTAGTGCCTGGTCACCACCCCCTCGCCCCATGCTTGTGTCCCTTCCCTTGGGTGAGCTCCCCCGCCTGCAGGGGCTACTCTCGCCTGTCAGCCCGAGCTGCTGCCTCTTCTTCTGCTCCCAGGGGCTGGCAGAGACTCAGGAGCAAATCGAGTTCAACCCCGCCCAGAGCAGGGAGTTCTTTGACATTCGGTGACTCCGTTCCTCGGTTCCTGAGACTAACTCCAGTTTCTTTAGCTGCTCCTAGCACAGCGGCCACAGTAGTCACAGAGCCACCCGCAGCTCCTCTGGCTCCAGCCACGGGGCCACTTGCTAGAGGCCAGTCCTGGATAGCTGCAGCTACCAGCCACAGGGGGGTGGCAATTCCAAGGCTGAGCCTGCTTGAACCTTGCAAGGGCGGCACTAGGGACTCTAAATCCTCAGCGCTGGCCCCAGGCAGCTGCAGACGCTGCAGTTCGGTGCTCTCCTCTAGGCCTTGGGTGTAAGTACCTGAGCAGGGCCCCCAGTTCCCACGCACCCTCGACGAGCACCAGCATGCAGAACGTGCCACCTGAATGATGCTGGAGGACCAGGAGGTTCCCATCCCTGAGCAGTTGCTCTACACACACACACGCGCGCGTGAGCGAAAGGCAGTGGAGTTACTCCGTGTCTAACCCGTTCTGCCCCCAGCCTGCTGTACACACGCGCGCGTGCGAGCGAAAGGCAGTGGAGTTACTCCATGTCTAACCCGTTCTGCCCCCAGCCTGCTGAAGTGAGAGCAAGGACCCGTCTGGACTCTAGGAGCAAAGGGCATTCGATGCTGCACTGGTTTGTTGTTGTCACAGGAGGGCCTCGCGTTACCTAGTGAATAATCAACACCTCCTGCAGCACTTGGCTTTTTCTGAGCGGCTGCCCGCCTGGTTACGAAAAGCAAACCTGCTTCGCGTGCGCAGCCTGGAGGAAGCAGAAATTGGCTTTTACTGTCCAGACGTGTGACTATTAGATAAACCTGCTCAGTAAAAGCCAATTCCTGCTTCCTCCTGCATGCCTGGTTTGTAGCGAAAGCTGCCCAGTCCCTCTAGCCGCGCCTCTCCTCCTCTACTTGTCCTTTCCCCCTCCTCGTGGGGGCTACACGCCTCCCTTGCAAGGCTTCAGACAGGTGCACTGTCCTCTCAGTCCACCCAATTCCTTCTTTGGGGACCACCCACACCCCTAATTCAGTTGGGAAGGCTTCGGAGGGTGAGATCTGGGACAAAAGCAAAGCCTCCTTACTCCTTGGGGATACATGTTGATGTTCCCCATTCACAGTGTCACCCCCTTCTAGCAGCCAGGCATGCTGCTGTATAGGAAACTCGCCTTCCCTGCCCGGTTGCTAGCTGCTAGGGAATGCTGGGAAATACAGTCGCTTCTCTGCTCCTGGGCCTGCTCTCGAGGCAGGGAGCTAGCCAAAGAACCGGCTCTCCGCTCCTCTCATGCTCTGCAGGCTCCCACTGCACAGCACAGCAGGAAGGAAGCGAGTGATATGGGCCCGGTGCCATGAAGCCATTTGCGCCATGGGAAATCCACGCCTGGGGAGAGTGGTGAGCTAGTACTGCAGATGGGGTTGCCGGGGTCTGGGATTGCACGTCCGCGTAGATCTCAGCAGAGGGAAGGCACAGAAGAGATGAGAGATTTGAAAAACTATTTTTCCTCTCTCTGCTGGGACCTGAGAGGAGACTGTGTCCCGGTTCTCTGCTTGTTATATGGCAATTCTGGGCTAGCAATACTGCTGTGTGGAAGGAAGAGAGTCACAGTTCACACCAGCCTCGTCCGGCCTTTGGAACCCCGTAGACAAGAGAAACTGGAAGTGCCTGGGTTAGACTCTCCACCAGAGTTCCCTGCGGGGCCCTGAGCCTCTGCCTGGGCGGGGCTGACCAATCACTTGTGAAGCCGCACTGCCCCGCAGCTTAGAGGGAACACTGTTCTCCACCCAGCAGGACTCACTCCACTGTCCCCTTCATTACACTCAGCAGTGTGATCCGCCATGGGACTCGCCGCTACCTCCAGGGTAAGCTGCAGAGTGGTTTTCATTCAGCCAGACACGCACCTGTTCTGCAGAGGCCTGCCTGGAAAGGTCTCACCAGGCACGGGCAACTTTACCTGAAGTGCTCATAAGAAAACTCCTCCAGCGTGTAGGGCTTCACCTTAACTTCCTCTTCCTCCGCCTCCTCCGTGCGGGAAGTCAGGGACGCCAACCTCCTCTGGTCTGGTGACATCATCAGCAAGCTCTGGAAATACACAGCGCATGCCCACTACACCAAGGCTCTGAGCAAACCAACGCGATTGCCACTGGCTACACACAGACAGCATTGCACAATTATTCGCCACTGCAACAGTGTGGGGAACCTGGGACACACACACACACACACACACACACACACACACACACACAGTGAGCACTGGAGTCACACACACACACTCTCTTAACTAATGCCAGCCCAGCACACATCCTCCATCCACCTTCTTTTGGTCTGCCTGGTCTTTCAGTGCGTCCCTGGGATGTGGCATCCGCCTCTGCACATGGCAGAGCAGGTTAAATTAGGTTAATTAACCTGATAGGCAGCATCTGGTGGGGAGCCAGGCAGGGAGTGAAAGGCTGAGAAGGAACAGGTGGGCTGGGCATAAAGCCAGAGAATGGGGAGCGGAAAGGGACTGCAGTGGAAGTCTGCACTCACTCCCTTCCTCCCCTCCCTTGGAGAAGGGAGCATATGCCCAGGGCCGAACTAAGACATGCTGAGGCTCTAAGATATGCCAGGTTTAAAAGGCCCCAGAGCATTACCAAAAACGTGTGTTATTCTAACAGTAAGGACAATGAAAATAGAAACAATGAAGTTTTATATTTGCATATATACTGGGACATGGGTGAGGCTGCAACTAAAAACTAGTAATTTTTGTTGTATTTAGAGGCCCCTCATAATCTAAGGCCCTAAATTGTAGTTTACCTAGCTTGAGCATAAATTCAGTGTGACTGGGGCTATGCAG